GGCAGAGAGGGGAAACGAAAAAAGAGAAATACTGGTTTTCAAATCACCACATGGTAGTTGTTTAGACATGGAGCGTTTTGGGAGTAAATATTCAACTGCAATTCAGACGAAGCAGCTAATTTAGGTCTTATCTATACCTGAAAACTATCAGTATATATACACACCTACAGAATATCAGGAATATATAGGCCATGAGTATATAAAAACTTAGAAAAGTTAAATTATGATGACGGTTCACAGCATGACAGTTCACTTTGCAAACAAAAATATGTTTTTACTCCACAAAAATATGAGATGACAGCAATTAGTCTGGACTTCTACTCCACATGTACAAAGAATTAGTGTAGAGTAAAAGGTGAACCTCGAGCTTATATCCTAGCTTAACCCTCAATTATTTCTACACTTTCTCATTTCTATAACCCATTTTTCCTACTTCTGTTTAAGAAACAGAGAACATTCTTGACAAGTTTAACTGAATGGCTGAAGGTACTGACACTTCTGTGAAGACTGACTTTATTCTAAGGGCCAGTCATTGAACAGAAGCAAGCTTACCTCTTCTACTGGGACCTTCTACTCCTGAATCCTTTTCATACTTACACCTTGGCACAGCTACGACTTCCCTGTTACCTTTGTCCCCTGACAACCTGAGTGACAATAGTGGCTGCAAAACTAATCAACACTGTTAAACTACTTTGGGTCACCCACAGGTTTTTGGGCATTACCCCGATATCCACAGCCATTATGAGGAATTGGAGGTGAGTGAAAACAAGGGTCATAACTGCTGAATAACAAAGTAGAATTGTGGCTTATTGATCAAAACAGAACTATACATTTATGGAAAACACCCCCCCCCCACACACACACACTTCCACAATTTTTCAAGAAGGAAATGAGTTAAGGCGTTACCTTCAGAGTTTCGATTTCACAATGAAGGTCATGCAAGACCCTTGCTGAAGATTCATCTTCAGAGTCTTTGATATGCATGTTCACATAAAAAGGTTTGGAAAATAAAAAGAGTGCATTAGTGTTTTAGCATGCAAGTACATTCTACATCAGAATGCAATCTCCTGTATTAGTGGATGAGAGACTGGACATGACCCATCCATGTGCACTTGCAGCCCCGAAAGGCAACTTGTCCTGGGCTGCACCAAAAGCAGTGTGGCCAGCAGAGCGAGGGAGGGGATTCTGCCCCTCTCCTCTGGTGACACTCCACCTCAAGCATTGCATCCAGCTCTGGGGTCCTCAGCACAGGAGAGACATCAACCTGTTGGAGCAAGTCCAGAGGAGGCCACCAAGATGACTGGAAGGATGGAGCACCTCTCCTAGGAGGAAAGGCCTAGAGAATTGGGATTGTTCAGCCTGGAGAAGAGAAGGTTTAGGGGTGACCTAATGGTGGCCTTCCAGTACCTGAAGGGAGCCTACAAGAAAGATGGAGAGAGACTATTTACAAGAGCATGTAGTGACAGGACAAGGGGGAACAGATTCAAACTAAGAGGGAGCAGGTTTAGATTACACATTATAGGAGGAACTTCCTGTATCAATCCATGAAAAGAAGCGCAAGAACACAATTCCCATTTTGTCGTGTTCACCCTGTTTTTTTCTGCAATAAAAACCTCACCTGTGCTGGTTTTGGCTGGGGTAGACTTAATTTTCTTTGCAGTGGCTGGTATGGGGCTGTTTTGGATTTGTGCTGAACACAGAGCTGACAATATAGAGATGATTTTGCTATGGCTGAGCAAGGCTTGCACAGAGCCAAAGCCTTTTCTGCTTTTCCTACTGCCGTGCTGGTGAGGAGGCTGGGGGTGCGTGGGAAGCTGGGAGGTGAAACTGCCGGGTCAGGTGACCCCAGTTGACCAAAGGGATATTCCAGACGGTGTGACATCATGTTCAGTATATAAAGCTGGGGGAAGAGGAGGACGGGGGGGACGTTTGCAGAGATGGTGTTTGTCTTCCCAAGCCAGCGTTATGCACGATGGGCCCTGCTCTCCTGGGGATGGCTTAACAGCTGCCTGACCATGGGGAGCAGTGAATTAATTACTTGCTTTGTTCTGTTTGTGTGCGCGGCTTTTTTTTTCCCTATTAAACTATCTTTATCTCAACCCACGAGTTTTCTGGCTTTTACCCTTCCGATTTTCTCCCCGATCCCGCTGGTGGGGAAGGGAACAAGCGGCTGTGCGGTCTTTGGTTGCTGGCTGGGGCTAAACCACCACAGCAGCCGCGAAGGAGCTCAGAAACATATCAACGTGGGCAGGAGCCCAAACGATTCCTTCCCGAGCTATTCCCAGGCTCATCCCCGCACCCACCAGAGGAGCACAGGGGCACAATGGCAGGCGGGAACGCAAGTCGAGGAAGGAATCCGGAGGAACTCCTGCAGGGCCACCGGTCCCAGGCGGTACCGCCCGTCACCACGGGCTGCGCTTACCCGCGTCCTCACTGCGCACGGCCTCCTTCAGCTGCTTAACTTCCTTCTCCAGCGTGACGGCCAGGCCCCGCAGCTTGCTGAAGAAGGCCCTGGACACGTCCATGGCGGGGGAGCTCCGCAGGTCCCGGGCCGGGCCGTCCCTGAGGGAGCCGGGCCAGGCCGCGCGCGCCGCGAAAAGGCTTCGAACTGCCGCCAGCGCGCGCCCCATTGGCGTGCCCGGGCCCCGCCCCCCGCGAGCGCCTCGCGAGAGCCGCGCCCCGCCCGCCGCCCGCCTGCCGCCATCTTGGTTCCCGCCGCGGGGCCGGAGCTGCCGGAGCCTCCAGGTGAGTGAGGGCGGGCTGGGAACAGGGCCCGGGGCAGCGCTGCCCCCGCGGAGCCCCGCGGTTTCGCTTCTCAATCGGGCCACGTCCGCACCGGGGGAACGGGGGAGGGTGGCTTCTCTCTGCGCCATTGCTGGATTGTGCCGTGTAAAGTGCTCGTCTGTCTTCCGCAGTCACAGCACCCAAGACTGACAGTTCAGGAAGCGTTTGGATAACGCTCTCAGGCACATGGTGTGATTCTTGGGGATGTCCTGAGCAGGGCGAAGAGCTGGTTTCAGTGATCGTTGTGGGTCCCTCCCAACTCAGAATATTCTGTGATACGAGTTCATGGAGTACAGTGTAATAAGAGACCTGGGAGGCGTGTTTAGGACTAAGACAGGTTAATGAAGAGCACGTCTGTAAAGTCTAAATGTAACTCGGCCTCTCTTGCCTCTGCTGCACCCCGTGTATCGTGTCAGTCTTGGTGCTTTCCATGTTCGCCAGTCGGTCTGATACAGACTGTTCTTTTTCTCTACTGACCAGATTTCCCCCAGTCAGAATACAAAACTAGGTGATTGAATACTATTAAGTTTATGGAGAGACTGTGGTTCAGAAGCTAATACTGAGGAAACGCCAGGTTTGGATCCAGAGGACAGACCTAGAAATAATTCGTTTTGACAGTGCAGTTAGCTATTCGAAAAGGGCATGAATGAAGGGAACCCTTTGTTCTGGAGTACCTCGGGGCTGGATTTCTCTTAAATAATCTGTGGGGGATATGCTTTAATTGCAGTGTAAGGGTAACTGAATAAATTCTTAAGATACATAAATATTTCAGGTTTCCTTTTTCTAATCTTAAATTTCCAGTATGTCTGGCGTTGTGCTGCCTGTTGTGTGTGTTGGTTGTATCAGGTTCTGAACTTGAACCTTCAAACCAGCTAAAAAGCAGTGGAGAGTGTTCAGAGCTTTTAATTTTTCTTGTCAAACTTTTACTTTTGTTCCTAAGGTAATGAGTATTTGATGTTTGTGTTTATGTTTTGAGGCGCAATGTTTTTAACAACGGTATTACTCCGAAAGAGAATTCCTGGACACCAGTGGATTGGGAAGTACAGGCGACCAAGACAGGTTACCCTTTCAATGATGCAAGCAATGGTCCGAAGACTGGAAATTGAAGCAGAGAATGAATATTGGCTGAGCCGGCCTTACCTGACCCGGGAGCAGGAGTACAAACACAACACGGAACACAGACGTGCCAAGTGGGAAGCTTTCAAACGCCTGAAACAAGCCAAGTTTCCTGAGCACAGATACATCAGTGATCATTTAAACCACTTGAATGTGACAAAAAAGTGGACGTGCTGAATAACACAGCATATTTATATTTGGCATATGTCATACACTGCCATGGGATCTGCCCGTGTACCTATTATGGTGGTTTTGTAATTCAGTGTAATTAGGGTGGATGAGAAGTAAGACTTTGCTACAGTGTACAGAATGCTTCATTAAAAGTAGTCCTGTGGAACACTGTATATTTTGTTATTATTGTCTTCTTAGAAAAGGACAGTTCTTTGTGTGACTCTCTACCATCTGCCTGTCCTCTGTTCTTCAGGGCTCAAAACAGCGAGTTACCAGGTGCAGTGGTAAAGATTTATATATAACCTAGGTTTATAGCATCACTAATTTCCTTCTGAAAGCCTAGAGAACACACCTGCTGTGTTGAAGGGGATTCTCTGCTGCCACTGGCCAGATAATTCTTGCTGGTAGCTCCCCCTTCTGAAAGGGATTCTTCTGTGTACAGCAGCACTTGAGACACAACTGATGGCAATTGCCATCAGGCATGCAAGGACCAGGGTGAACTAGAGTTACAGAGGTGGGGTAGGAGGCTGAAACTCATGGGATATTATAAAACGTTCCCTTTTTTAAAAGCTTTATGGAAAGAATTGTTTAATTTAAATGCCAGTGTCGGTGTCACGTCAGTGTCAACTTGGGTGTTGCTGCCTTTTTACACAGATTGTTTCTGATCAAAAAGGAACATGGCTGCTTTCTGTTTGAGTGACTGACTTCTAAGTCAGGCTTAGTGTCCTGAAGGAATATAATTAGCCACAAGTCGGGTTTTATATTTCCCCTCAAGACCCAGTGAGCTGGAAGATGTGTCAAGAAGTGTAATCTTAGGTTTGTTGCAGCTGGAGTGTAAAAACTAGAACAGTTACACAGTGTTTCCCAGGGAGGCAATTTTTTTCACTAATCTAATACATACATGCTACAGCTGAGCAATTTTCAGATTCTTTCACATACTTTTATTAAGTTGATGTTGCATTCAGCAATGAATTCAAGTGTCAAGTCCATTCATATCACTTTGGAAAAGAGGCTTAAAATGGTACTTTTTTATTTAAACATGAACTGTACTTCAGAGAAGTATGAACAGGTCTGAACACTGATGTACAAAATCTTGAATGCACTTCCATTGGTTATAAACGGCGTAAGAGAACTTCTATGGAAAAGTATACATACGGGGAAATTGCGAATACAATTAAAACATGAAGGAACTTCCAGGCAAAGCAATGTGATTTTGTATTTAATTCCTTTAGAAAAGCCCGTTTAAAAAGTTACTTCAAGTATTAAACTATAAATGGCAATGTTTTCTCTGTGCATAGGACTAGTCCTATCTGTAACATACAAAAAAATACAGTAAGTGCGTATTTATTACATGTCTCTTTTACACATCACCCCAAACTTTAAATACAACTCATTACAAGTTTAGGCAGCACAATTAAAAATAACCATGTGGAAGCAGAACAGCTGGGACGTCGTGATTAGTGCAAATGTTGATGACCCTTGCTGGCAAATACAAAAGCAATTGCAGAGATAACCCAGGGATGTTTCATTCATCTTAAGTGTTCAAAAGGGGGCAGACTTAACAGCAGGAATGCTGCCTCTTTCTGGGATAGTTTTATGATTGTAAATTGTCATTCAGAAAGATTTAGGTTTTCCACGACAAAGCTGATAACAACGGGCTCAGGGACAGGGGAAATCAGAGGATTACACTAAGCGTGTAGTGGTCAGCTAAGCAATGTAAACGTAAGGGACTCTGCATGTCACCATGAATGCTTTGGTAACAATTAAGTGCGATCCAAATACTTCATCCCTGACGCATCTGCTTGACTGCTCAGCATGAGCTCTCTGTTTCTTGGGGCAGGGGCTGGGAATTAAGATGGGGAAACCCCCCCAAACCAAAGAAAGCCATCCTGTAAACATTATCAGACTTCACTACCTAATGGAAACAAGATTCAAGTAATTGCTGCAGAAAACAAACAGCCAAACACCAGTTTTAATCAGCATTGAAACAAACTACAACTTCATAATGTTTTATGACAGTTACGTAATTAAGAAAAATGTGTATAAAAAGCTATATATACAAAATAAATTGATAGAAATGAGTGTAGTAAATATGTTCAGTATTAAATCACTTCATGTGCAGCTGCTCTCTTTGGTGCCATTTAGGGATAGAAGAGCCTCTAGCATTGCATACCTTGCTGTTTTTTAGGTACTGGGAAAGACACATCCTTGATGTGCTCTGCATTCAAGTAGCTGCTGTTTGCAGCCTCTCTAAATGCAGATCCAAATCCCCCTGCTAGATTCCATTTTAGAGGGTGTCCTCAGAGAACATAGATTATGGAGCTCAAAGCTGTCATTGTTTTGTATTATTTCTTTTATTTTTATATTTTTAATAAACCTGGTCAGTCAGTGCTCCAGATCCAGGCAGCTCTGGTCAATCCACATCAGAGTCAATACATCTCTTGGTAAATCTGCCAGACACAAACGCTGCTTGCAAACGCTGCTGTTTCCCTCTTGGGGCTCTGGTTAGCTACAACTGAACCATACTTCAGAGAGATCATGAAGGCCTTTGCGTGCATACCGAATGGTACTGAAATTAATCAAAACCTCCCAACCCAAAAGATGATTTATAATTAATACTGAAGAGCCACACAAAGGAAAAAAACAGTACCTGAAAACTGACCGGTTTATAAGAATAGCACACCAAAAGTAGCTTGGTACCTGCAAATTCCACACTCAAAGGGCAGCTTTAACAAAAACGTTACTGTAATCTCTATTCAAATCACTAAAAAGAGTAGTGCCCAAACTCCCTCTAAAAACCCATCCGAATATTTAAAATGGGGGTTTTTAATCAAAGCTTGTCACACATCTGAGTTATGTCACTGCAGTCTGAGAATAACACTGAAGGAAGTCAGTTATGACACATGCCAACTCCTTTCCCTGCCCTCCTCCCATAAATACGGCTTTGGTAGGTGCAGCAATGATTTTTATGTTGTACATGCTGTGAATAAATAAGAGTAAGAAAAAAAACAGTATTAGCTGTGTAGTTTTAAGTCATTTCTATTTATGGATTTCCCCTCATCTTCACAGGGACAGGTTTATTTCAAGACATTTCAGAATTCTGGAGGGGAAATCACACTAAAATCTTGCTCTACATTAGATTTTTGTCCTCACACTGAGGATTTAATGCCATTTTTTGGCTCTTTGAGTGTGTGGATTTTTTTAAAAGAGAAAAGCAGTAAGAAATACAAAAGCAGTTTCTAATTGCAGGTAATTTCAACTATCCTACAGTAACTACTATGTATGGCTTGCAATAGTAAATATTTTAATGGATCTAAAAGCTTAAGGGCTGCTGTTTTTAGTGACAATCTAGGTATTTTCAAGACTCCATGATACAGAGTAGGTTAAAGCACAAAACAGTATATGCCACATGGCCCAACACCCTGAACAGTTGTTTTCTAAGGATCCATCTCCCTTCCAATCTCCTGGACATGTAGAGTTGTCCTCACTGCATTCACTAGAAGTTTCCAGCTCTTCAGTGCACAGGCCAAAAGTACCTACTTGCTGTTGCTGCAGTGCCCTGGCTGCTTGCAACCCCACAGCCGAACAGCCATCCTGCTCCCTCATTCTGCCTGTCTGACACAGCACAAGCCAGGGAGCTGTCAGGACACAACTCTAAGACAGAAGATGTCATCCTGCTGCTTTGGACAGGATACCTCCTCCAAAGTCCACGCCTGCCAGGAAAACCTAACCTCCTCTCCCACTCACTGGCATGCCCTCGAGTTCAATACAATTACCTTAGAGAACTTAAATCCTTTGTATCAGCCTGGGGTTTCTTAGTCACCAGTTCCCCAAGGGGAAAAGAAAGGGGGGGGGCTCGGGGGTGGTGAATTTGAAAGAATCATTTTGAATTATTTTACTGTGTTTCATTTTGTCAAAGTGACTTTCAGTAATGCCTACTTTTACACCAACAGTAACTCCAGCCTCAGGAGTATCCTAAAGCCCACTGCTCTCCTCCTTTTCTCACCTCAAATATGAAAAAAATCTAGGACAAAATATTCCTGTGATCTGCATAAAGATGTCAGAAGCATCAGTTCTTCATGAAAAGCCACAAAAATGTCCCTCAGATATACAAAGAACTGGTTTCACAAGACCAGTGCTTGCTAGAGAACGCACACAGAATTAAGCTCACTCTGTTTACTTACAGTTTTTCCTGTAGATTCATGGTCCTGACTTAAGAAATCAACCAAGTTATACTGATATTAGCCTACAGTATATATACATTCATATGGGGGTATATCAAGCTCTTTGGGGAGTGGCTGGGGGAGCAGAGACCATATTGCTGAATCAGTGATACTTATGAGACATACATTTTGCTTATAGTCCTGCTAGATGATGTCTGTGCATGGATGTGTTATTTCACCTATAATGCACTGATGCAGTAAAAGCCAGATGATATCCCAGGCCCTCCGTTACAGTTCCACCAGTTTTTGGGGCTGCAAATTTTGGTATTCAGAATAAGCCATTTGAAATTGCAGTCTTCTCTCTGTTATCTATCCCATGAAATTTTGCTGATGCAGTATTGCTGAGAGCTTATATTCAGATGAGCACATCTCACTTGACATTTGAGAAGAAAAAAGGTAAACCTTTCAGTTTAATGTGTAGCAAATGTTTTTGTAAGTTCTGAAATAAGCAAATGCAAAATTTCTCGTACAAATTTGAAGAAACATTATGCAACTTTTATAAAACATGCAAGTTTGGACCATTACTTCTGTCTCAAGAACATCCAACAGTGACCAAATCGTGTTCATAGATTCTCAAAGAGTTCTTGTTCCAGAAGACGAATATTTAAGAAAAGTTTATTATTTCCAAAGACAAAAAAACCTTATTTTAAACCTCAGAGTATACTCCATACCTTAGTATTTCCATCATAAACATATTTAACGGAAGTAGCAATCAGTCTGGGAGACAAAACAAACAGGTTCCTTTGGACTAGATCAACAACTCGATTACTACCTGCAGTCTGTATCAAAAGGGCTCATGTATATTTGTAATCAGCATCAGCTGAACATCAGAAAAGTTAAAGACAGAAAAACAGTATTTGTCACTTTTTCCAGGTGCAAAATTCCAATACCACTCAAAGATGAGTTAGCAGTTTTCTCTACAGAGAAGTGAGGAAATAAAAACCCTTATGTTGTTTGCTGTAGGTCTTGAGCTATGGATGGACTTGATTCCATACAGAGGAAATACATTTTGCCTTTTGTGAACATGTATATCACTGCACAAAGCACTCAGTCTTCAGCAATTCCAGCATCACTTAAACTGGACTTGAAAGTGGGACACTACAGTATGCAATTTTTCAGTGTGCTAACACAGACATATGATTCAAGACTGATTTTCTTCTAAGTACCTGATATTTGTTTAAATGGTACTTTAGAACCAATAAAACCTTGTGCCTTTATTAAAAAGATAAAACAAAAGTATAAAACAGTATTTATAAACCATCAAGAGACCCATGGAAAAAGCAGCACTCTTCTGGTTCCATTTTCTAACATCACACAACTGCAATAAGGTTTTTCTCAGGGGTACTTTACCATTTTGTTGCTGCCTCACAGGAAACACTGCAAACAGTAACACCAAATGTAACAATTAATTCCTTTTTGGATTGGCTTCTCTTTGTATGCTGACAGACAGACCTTCGAAAGTAATAATCGATGTTTTTTTCAACTAAACCCCAAGTTTTCTTCTTTGAGCTCTGTTCTTGACATGGTTAAATAAATCAAGTTAAAATGATGAGGAGGCTCAATGCTATAGCAAAAAAGCAACACCCAAGTTAAAAGGCTTTTACACTGTTGGCATTGCCTTACTCCAAAGCACAGCTAGTAGAAGGAACTCTCAGTCCTGAAAGACTTGGAGAGCTATGATCATGGGGTAGACTGGTTAACAGGAGGAGGGAAGAAGACATCATCCAGTCCCTTCCCCATCACCTCGCATCTGAACGATGTATACTCGCACTTCAGATTCACCAGCTAATGCTTTATGCTAATTCTTCTTCTCTTGTTTTGTTTTGGTTTTTTTTCCTTCCTTCTCCTTTTATGTTTCCTTCTGTACTCTGGAGACCTGCTATGGAAGTGACTTCTGCAGTGCCTAAGGTATGAAGTTTGCCCATGAGGAGGTAGGAGTCTCTGCAATCTACCCCCACCACTGCAGCATAATAAAAATGCATAGTTCCCACTCTGGACCTTGTGCATCCACGCAGGGCACTTCAGGATCTGGCCCTTTGGTAGCAGTATATAATTCAGTGTTGCATAAATGCACATTTAGAATCTTAAGGCATCTGTCTTAACTTCCCTGCTCTGCAATAGTGCTTACAAGAATCCATTGTACTGTGCAGAAACTTGAATTTCTTGTCTCTTCCTAAAATGTTCATGTTCCATTTTTTCCAGCTCAACTTCTTTGAAACAAAATTAAGTAATATTCAAGTTCAAAATGTGTTGCAGAAACCTAGTGAAACAAAAAAGGTAATAAATAGAATTATTCCAATAGTTTTGAAAAAAACTAGATCATAGTGTATTACATGAATGTAGCTGGGTAACGTGATTTACAGACTTCTGTTTGAGAACAGCAGTGAAGGTAATCAGCATTCTGAGAGGTGTGGGTTTGTTTTGTTTCTGTTTTAAACCTCTTATGTTTTAGAAGATTATCTGTGCTAAGAACATCAATCCATCACCACTGACCTGTGGCTAAAGTCCCTCAGAACCCCGATCAACAATTTAATTTTTGAATTAAATTGATAGATATGAGGACACAAATGGTATTTGCCTAGGCAAGACTGGGAAATTGGCCTTCTGCAAATCAAGCTCTTTTCACTAGAACAGTCTGGGCATTTTACTTGTCAGCCATGACTTTGCTTCTGCTGCATGTTATAGGCCTAAAATTGAAAAATACAACTCTTAGTTTGTTACAGGGTATACAAAAGTGCACTGAACAGATGTTGGATCTCGCAGCTACTGCACAGTTGCTTACAACAGTAGGGACTGGAACCACCTCAGCCTACAGAAACTGCGATCAAATCCAACTGAATTCTGAACATTGTGCTACTGAGTTAGTTTGAGGTAAGATATACCCAAAATGCTTTGCAGTGGGCGTAGTTATGCACTATTTATTTCTACAACTTTTAAAACTACTGCAGTTTAGGCAAGTGTGACACAACGTACAAATTCTTCCTTCATTAAATCTGGAGTGACTTTAGGAAGAGAGGGAGGATAGAAAGGAAATTCATCTCAAACTATTACCAGTTAATTGTCTAGCTTAAGCCAGTCATTTATGCTCCCTCTCTAGGTCAGTGGAAAGAAAGATTAAGACTTTTCTATAATACCCTATATCAAAGGCTACTGGGATGAGCTGCTCTCAGAAGACATCCATTCCTTTCTACGAAGAACAGAAAAGCCTTAGTAACCTATTTAGATCAGATTAAGTTTTATATAGCTAGAGGCTGAAAGGAATCCCTTGCTTGGGACATTGTTTTGCAGATTTATATAGTATTAGAAAAAGGTGCAAAGCGGAAACTTACCACTAGTGAGTTCTCATGGTTGAACAGATTTTCAGAAGTACCACTAACTGGAGTCTGATTTTGGTTTTGTATGAGTTTACACTGAGCAGGCTGACCAATATTTGTGCAAATATCACACCATCACCCACAAAGACTTTCAGAGAGATTTTTTTCCTTGAAAACAAATCAAACTCCTCCCCAAAATAATTCTAAGTCAGAAGGCTCATTAAAAAATAAAAAAAGGAAAGGAAAAAAAAAGTGATCCTAAAATTACTGAGCTCACCAAACTTAAATTTCTTTCCAATGAAAATGGGAATTACTTGCAAGAATATCCCCCAACCTCCCTCCAAAAATAGTTTAAAAAAAAAGGCAGTGAGTAAGGACTCAGCTCTCAGCATCAACAGTTGTTAGTTGACCAAATATGATTTCTCTTCCAGAGAGCAAAAATTAATTGGAGCTTATAAGCTCACCACAGTACAAAGTCAACATAAAACAAGTCTAATTTAGTCACTGGAAATAAACCAAGGGAAGTTTCCACACGCACCAGCACTCACTGTATTTCCTAAATGCAAAGTGGGCGCACTTTATTGTAAAAACATTACAGAAGATCACTGTCAGTTCCAAACGTGATGAAGCAGTCTGTATGCAGACACCTGTATACACTTACTTGTTCCTTCCCTGTGCACACACAGCTTCCTAAAGCGTAAGAGCAGAGCATGGTCCACCAATATATGATTAAGAAAAAAAAGGCAGCACTTCATCTTGAAATTGCATTAACATCGGATTCTTTTCCCTGATCAGGTAACAAATCCAGCACCACGCAATCTAAATTAAAGGATTAGTCTGACTCATCCCAGACCTAGCCAGCCCATGTTTCCTGTACTACAGCATTACTCCCATTCTTGTCTTCTGGACAGCCATTCTGAGTTTTATTTAGACTTTTCTATTACTCATCCAACATCAGAGGACTCCTCTGCATTCCATGACTAGCTGATTTTTGACTTCAAGATGTCTGTTGTTTTTTATATGTATACAGAAACAGCAATCAATTATGTTAGTCTTACCTGTTTCTCATTGAGATGGTTGGTTAGTAATAAGCTGAGATCAGCTTTCCAATGAAACTATAATATGCTTTTTTGCACCTAGAATGTGAGAGAATCTCAATTATGTGTTTTCGCAGATTTGCATAACAAATAGCAAAGATTTCAAACCAGAAAGCACATTAACCACATTGTGCCTATTTTACAAAAATATTTTCCTCCCTCTAATCAAACATAAAAGATCCCATATCTCAGAACTGAAGTGCAAAAGTGAGAATTATCTATTTATCTATCTATCCATCTACTTAATGTAATAACTAAGTTTGGAACAGAGTATGGGATGCAAGTTAGTAATAAGTTGTAAACATGCTGACTTTATTCTATGGAACAACTTTTCTTCTAAATGACTCCAGCCAATTCCTAAGGACTATCTAGGCCTTAAAAAAAAAAAAAAAAAAAAAGGAAAACCCCCACCACAAACAAAACCATAGGAGAATCATCATAATGTTTACAGTTCAGGCTACCTGATTTCACGTTTGCCTCTTCAGGGCCACTTTCCACCCACTGACAATCACCGGCTAGCAATCGGTTTTGTGATTCACTGAGTGGTCGAGTAGGAAAGGACTGATTGGATCCAGAGCTGAAAAGTAAGCAAAGTCAACAGCAATTCTGTAATACCAGTAGCTGCTTATTTCAGACATTTCTAGAGTAGTGAAGTTACTTAACAGCAAAGCAAACAAACAAAAAAAACCCCTACAGTGCCAACTGAAAACAGCATCCTTTCCCCAACCCTAATTCCCCTATAGCCTTGTTGCAGTCATCAGTCGAAACCCTTACCTCACATAAGCCCCTCAAAATTCTGATGGAAAAAAAGCACAGTTTGATACACAAGAAATGGCACACTGAGAACAGTGCCGCTGCCACACAGTTAAAAAGAAAACCTAACCAGTACCATTTGGAAGAACAGCCAAATGCCATCTTATCCCACATAAATGCCCAGGCCTTCTTCTGAACAATCTTCTGAGTGCAAAAGGATAATGTGCTATTTGCACAAGAGTCCTGTTCTTGTGTAAATCCCACAGGTTATATTGTACTGGAAGCAACTTCTCAGCATTGCATTTGAATCCTCTCATGTCTGGTAAGTCAGGTGACTGCTGTTGACAACAATCTTCAGCTACGAATTCACCAAACTGTACAGAAGACTTCTAAAATGGCAAACGTAAACACCCCCACAAGCTGCACATACTCCTGTCTCTCTGAATCTAAAGCAGGCTTCCTGAAAATACACTGAAAATACTATTAGTGTTTCCATAAAGCCATATCCTCTATTATAGCAAAGCCAAGAAACTGTCAATTTTTTAGTATTAATCCATTCTGTCCTTCTGTGAAGCACCTTACTCTGAAGATGACAAGAAATGTAAAGAATTAAAAAACTTGGAAACCGTTTTTTTCTCCAGATGAAGTACAAAACTACAAAATCAGCACCTTAAATGTTATACTTACCTTTTGGCAGATTCATTTTGGCTTGAGACAGTAAGTTGCTCTGGATCCATAATCACCAAACGAGTTGGAAAATTGCACCCATCACCCAAACTAAATGAGAAACAAAGGCTCAAATCACTGTTTGCAGTTGATTTTAATGAACTGAACAAGGACCTATGCAAAAGGCAAACGCTACAGACTTGAATCAATTACCCGAGTGCAGTGTTGAACTCCAGACTTGAGCAAGGCAGTTCTACCACTAACTCAGATGATCAGTTAATCAAATCTTGGAGCTCAATTGATTCCCACCCTATGGTTACAGCATGGTTTGCTGAGCACAGGACGAGTCTGTGTATTTCAGAACCATGAATGTATTTCTGTGGACTGTAGCCCCAGCCTTCCCCCAAACCATCATGCACACATGGTGAGACTTGCTGGTATTTACAACCCCAGAAGCTGTATCATAAATAACATTTTGTGGCCATACTTTCCCCTCCAGCCGTAATTCTGAAGTTAGCTAAGCCTTCTGTTAAAGCAAGTTTATCAGGATAAAATGTGGTAGCAAAACAGACTGACTCATCTACAGCATTGCTTCTGTCTTTAATCACATGGTAGCTGAGCAAACAGCTGCGGCAACTTAAGATCTTGTTATTACCTCTGCTGTTTGCTACCAGACTTCAGCTTCACAAATAGGTTCACCAACACTTTAAACTGATACACAGCCCCACAAAAGTAGTGTTGGAACACACCTCCTACTTTGTTCTGCTGAATTCCGGTAGTGGTGGGAGTGGTGAGCAGGTCAGTCTTTCTTCATCAAGCTTGTCTGTGACTCCCCAACACTGGCTCAGCTGAGTTTTAAAACCAGCATTTTGCATCATATCAGATTTTTTTTTTGCTCTGTACTTTTTTAGACAGCTTTTGATACCGAAAGTGTTGAAAGGAAACGGAAAGCTGACAGCAAAAGGAAAGCTGCCAAGTGTTTTCAGGGGCAAGTGGGGGTGTTTTCAAATTGTTGTTGTTTTGGTGCAGCTGAAGTTCAAGCATTTCTCTCTCCTCTAAGTTGCAGATTTCTGCTCTATAATCAGATACTAATACTACCACCAAAAGGTGTACAGTTTTTGCAATACAATTCTCAGAGCTTTCCAAACTTCTGTATTTAAAAGGCCCTTGTCAACAAGCTGCTTGTCTTGGACTGAAAACCCTGTGCAGAGTTTGACAGTTTTCTCCTGCACATTTTCCCTACAGTAGTATTCATTTGTACAGGACTTACAAGTTGGCTTTTCAGTTGTACTTTATTTTTTAGGGGAAGAGGAAGTAAGGTGAAAGTTGTGAAATCAATTTATTCCCCTATTCACTCCTATTCAAACTGAATACCTGGTAAAGATAGGGAGTAGCCAATATTTCTTTTCATCTCCAAAAACTTCCCTCAGATTTTTGCTGCATCCAAGAGAGAACCCATTTTTATCAGGGCCATTTCGAAATGTGGGTGCACGGAATGTTTCTGTAAAAGAAAAACACGGAATCTCTCTAAACTGGTAAGGAGTAAGAGAACATGAATACACATACTCAGACTTCTCTACTATGAAAACATTGTTGGACAAGCTGAGACGATCTTGATGTGTGTTATGGGGGGAGGGGAAAAAGAAAAAAGTAATCTCAAATAATGAGAGAGAAAAAAATCACAGGTTAGTGACAAAAATAGAAACGAAAGGTAAGAAAATCAAGTAAGCAGAACAGACACCTTGTCAACTTTCTCTCTCTACATTTAACATAAGGTCTGAAACAAAGCTAAGTCCCATCTGCATGCCAAAGGCAGCACATCCTTTATTCCTTGGTGACTAGCTCTCCCTCTGGCCTGTGAAACCTTCTTTGAGCAGAAGACTTTCTGTTTTAGAATTTACCATAAGCACTGCTGGACCTAAGCCCATACAGAAGAGGTTTTTCCACTTCTGTCACGATCTGAAGTTGAATTAAGAGCATCCTGTGCTAACAGAAAAAGGTGAAAACTATTTTATTAGAAACAGACACACCATGAACTATAGCAAACCACCACTACTTTTCTACTCAGTCCACTACTTGGCCAAGAAGTGAGAGCACTCACTGCTCTCCCCATACCAATATCTTGTCTTTTTACAATCATGATCCAAAAAGTAAAGTCCTGTGTTGCCAATTATGACCACTGACTTTCGGGTAAGGAATATGCTAAAGTTTTCTTCAAAGCTAAAAAAGAAACTGTGAATATTCCTTATCTGTAGATATATCGAAAAAGAATTCAAGTCTCCTGTCAAGCAATCAAAAAAATTCCTTTTTTTCCCCCAGCAGAAAATTCTAGCAAGCAGAAAATTATTTCACTTTTAATCAACCCACTTATTTTGAAATTAGAAATTTAAACTCCATTGAAACATATAAGATTTTGACTTATTCAGTTGCAGAAATATCCATCAGTCCCTGTCCCACCACGCCCTTCCAAGTGTTTCCTAGCAAGAACTTCAGATATTTTAACTAATGCACATAACTTGGTTATGTCAATCAATGCCATTTAAAACATTTAGGCATAGAAATTTGGGAAATGTGCATCAGTGCACATCAGTGCACATTTTTATCACACTGCTTTTACGAGCCACTTCCTAATAATGAGGTCCATATTCTTTCACAGGATATAAGAATACTCTTTTGGAACTAGTTCAAAATGTTGTATATATCCATATTAGAGCCTTTGACTTGGCTGGGGCCACCCAGCTACTCAAAATATTAGAAGAAGAGAGTGGCAAGTAGCAACTGGGTTACATACTTCACACGATATAAAAACTCAACAGAAATGCACAGTGCCGCAGAGGTCTCAAAAATACAAACAAAAGAAATGAACAGCCATCATAAATCTGAATGCTTGGCTTTAGCAGAGGAACCCTACACAGGCTTTATTTCCCTATATCTTTCACCTTTAATTACTTCCACCAAATCTGCTTCTTATTGCCTAGTATTTAAAATTTTTTTTTATATTTGATGGTATATCATGTAGGCATCATATTCTCATTGAACTGTTTTCTGGACAAGAAAAAGTTCCATATTCCCATTAACCGACCTATGGTTGATCTGTTTTTGCCAACTAGCCAGCAGTGGTAGCTGAAGAGTGACAGTATGCTGATGAAGAACATGGCTGCCACAAAGAAAAGGAACAGTACGTGGAACTTTGCATGGGTATCTGGCAATTCATTCTGTGGAGAAAGAGAGAAAGGTTAATATGTTAACACTTCCCAGTAAGTAACACAGTATTGTGGCTGAACACTTTCTGCCACACCCACTCTGCTATAGGTCTTTCACCTCGCTTTTCAAATAGAAAAATAAAACAAACCAAGCCCAGCTTTCCTTTCATGTCATGTTAAACTGGTGTACAACAGCCTTTCAATCTCATGAGTGCTCCTTCCCCTCGAGTTCAGCAGCACAAGTGCATATATATGTTCATCTGTGGTTTTTAAATGCACGGTAAGGGGCAAGGCAAAACATTTCCTATACTAAACAATGTTAACTGCAGTAACAGCCACAGAGATATGGGAAAAATATTTCCAAAATCATTTCCTTTGAAGGAAAAAAAAAAGGGAAAAAACCCATCCAAACCTTTTCCTGGCAAGGTAATAATACTGAACCTAATTCTGAACTGGTGTAATGAATGTAAAAAGGAAATAGTTGTCATATTATGTTTCTAAGACTGAACAAGTCCTAGACAAGATATGGAATAGATCTTCAATTTTTGATGACCTCTACAGTTTAAGCAACAATGAGCATGCACGCAGTGAAACAAATTTGCCATGTCTGATCAGGTAGAAGTGATTCACCAGAAATCTATGTAAAAAACAAGAATTTCAGAACAATCACTACAGAAAAAACACCCATATCAGATAGTTGATTCCACCCCCAATTATTTTTAGGCTTCTGCTTTCAAAAGGCCATTGGGATTTGCAACAATACTATTCCAGTTCTATAGCCTCAAAATCACAATACTTTTAAGCAGTTGACCTTTAACAGCACTATGAAAGCAGAGAGGCTATTTTTATTCAGCTGTTTAGTTGGCATTACTGCCATTACTTTTTCCATTAGCGCATTGAGTATACCCATTTATCTAAGGCTGACTTTCTTTTTAGACTAAAATACATTTCAATTAAGATCAAGTGCACATAGGTATATCCATATCCCTGTACACTGCCTGTAATCACAGGCAACAGATTACAAGTCTCCTTCCTTCTGTGATGGTGTAAATAGCTACCATTAACGACTGGACTAGTAAAATTACAGCATTTAAATAATTACAGCAATATTGGATTTTACCTTTGGACAATTCTCTGCAGCTTTCCTGCGGCAAAGCTTTGCGCAAACAAAGACAATTTATTAAACACTAGTATTATGTTAAGATGAAGCGTTTGAAAACAGCACAGGCTTTGATAAGAACAAAATGGCTGGTGTGCAAATGTGCTCTTGGACGCGCCGAGTTCCAACGCCTATCAGCAGTTTTAGCCCCTGTTCTCCAAGAGAACGGAGGAAAGAGTATGTAAGAGCACACTAATAACTTCAAAGGCATGAAATTTTCTACTGAAGCATGGAAGTACTGCTATTCAGATTGTAACTGGATCACTTTCATGCGGTTCCTCAGCTTGAACAGCACAACTACACCAAGTGCCTTCTTTGCTAGTTGTTTCCATCACAAATAAGATTTATGTGAATATTCTGTAGGATGAAACCATTCATAAAGGTCTGAAAAGCTCAGAATACTCCTGAGGTATAAAGTAATGGTTTATTAATTAGAATTTTTTTCTGACTTCAGAACATATCTATTACCATTAGATGTAACTTCAGCCAAAACCATAAAAAAATAAATTGCCATTCTTTGCACATATTTCTTTGTTTAAAAAAACCCCATAGCACATCAGTACAGTTGTAATTCTTCCCCATTTCCTTCAATACAGAAATGTTTTTAGGATGTATCTTTAGCGTAACATCTGAAATTGAACCAGTACTTAAGAAAATAAAGGAAGAAACAGGAAAAGTTAGTTTAAATTCATTTTTAAATTCCAAACTTTACACCTAAAGAGTGGTAGCCATCCTAGCTAAGATGCTAGCACTTAGTGAATCTGTTGTAGGCAAGATGTATGGGTTTTAAGCTACGTTAATCTGTGTAGAAAGCCTAGGGAGAGCCCAGGGATCTACCTTGGAGTCTGGCAGACGTACACTGTTTTCAAAAATGCTGGCTACAGTCAGATCATGCTACATAAGCAAATGGTAAGCAGAGTCCAGCTCTCTAAACTGCCATCTAAATTCAGTCTCCTTATTTTACTGCCTGTTGTATTACTTATTTACTTACAATTTTTGTCTTCCCCCTGCAGTAGGGACATGTTGCATTATGTGATCCCCTGAAATGCAGGCTAGCAAAATACTCCAAACTTCATGTGGAAGCGATAATGATTTTTTTCTGCCTCAGAGCACACTGTGCTATTCCTCAATTTCCTAATTGATTTTTGCGACCTGTATTTCTATGACTCTTTTGGAATTGCATATTTAATCAAAATAGTTCTCTACAAAGAATTCTCAGGTCAGTTGATTTTGAAGCTCGAAGAGCAGTAGCAGCTTAGTCTTTGTGTTTTCTGTGGGCCAGAAAATCTATTTCAGTTGTATCTTCCTAATTCAGCAGCTCTATCAACCTGGAGAAGGGTCTTTTGCATCATGCACGATTGATCTGCATGATCCCCAAGGAACATTTACCTCTTCTGACTACCCCGTTTCAGCCACTGGTTGGTAAGTTCTTGAATGAGAGTTGCAGAACTGAAGCATCTTTGAAAAAAGGCCAGTTTTTCCTGGAGAGAAGCCTGCAGTCTTTGAGTATGTTTAACAGGCTTATTCACAGTGGTGTTCTAGTAGCGGTCCACATGCCCCAGCATGTGAAAAGAGAGTGAAACTTCACACGTGGGTTATTTAAAGTCATTATGCTCAGAACAGCACAGAAGCACAGACTCGCAGGTGAGAGTGCTGTAGAGCTTACAAAAGGAAGCAATTTTCACAATAAAATTTGAACTACTTAGCACACATAATAGACTGAAGCCAGTCCCTATTGTAAAGAGTCCCCTACAAACCCCTTCACAAGAACAGAGTCATTTGAGCATGTGTCAGGTCACAAAAACCCCCAAACAAAAAAGTGCTGTCTGAGCTTGATTAAACCCTTAGACGTGGTCTATATCCCTAGTGTATGTGCAAGAGGAATGAGGTTTTTTTTTTGTGCTGCTCTTAATACAATGGAAGTTTTGCAGAAGCATGTGCCATCCACCCAGAACACATATCACATCCTTGAATTAGCTATACTCAGGATTGCAAATTAATTTGGAGGACAATGAAAGACACTGAAAACAACTGGAAAATAGAACAGTTTCAAGGAGTAGGGAGTGCAGAAAGAAAAAGAGTAGATACAAATATAAGCTGGGAAGCACCACCATGCACTATGTAAACAAGGCATGAAGGACTGGGCGTTCAGCCAGTGCTGGTGTTTGTGTCAAATACATTTGGTTAAACTGATGTGTTATCTGCTCATGTTTAACAATTTCCTAGGTAGAAATAAAAGTTACATGAGTATAGGAAAAGTAGTTATGATATAAATAAAGAAATCAGTCATGTTTCCTTGATCTACAAAACAGATTTTAACAGCAGCATTAGGGTGCAAGCTGTGGTAAACATTTCTGGCCAGTGTGGTTGCTGCACCACTGTATGAACAGCATCAGGACCTTTCTTCAGCACTTCTGCATAGAACATGAAAGGTGCTATGTAAAAGTCTTGCATGTGCACGTTCTTCAACAGAAGAGTTCAGTAGATGTGCATGTCACAATATTTCCAAGTATCTGCGTATGCGCATCATGTCTCTATGCAAATATTATCCACAATGCAAAACAATGGATTGCTAAATTTGTGTAGTTAGCACATACACTTCCACAACCTCATTACAAGTTCTGAAGTGACCAAGGCTACACTCCCCAAGAAGCAGTCCATATTCCTTCCCAACACTAAATATATCCAGCAGTTTGTTGCACGGTCTCTGTAAAGCATCTATGAGGAAGCAAAAAATCTTCTGAAGTTATACCATTTCTGATACTCAAGTTTAGGGGGAAAAGCAACATCTAGAGAGACTCAAAAGTCGAAACAGCAATCTGTCTGATACAGCAGCAGACAAAGCTGAGCACTAGCAATATACTGAAGCAGTCTACAGACAGCATATGTCAGCAGCATTCTGCTTTGGTTTGGATACAGACGTAAAGAGAAGCTTCCAGAATTCTATTCTGCAGATAACAGCACTTGTCTAAAAGCTTACATACAAGACACATACAATATTTTGCAAGCCTACATGATTATGGTGCTGCTGTCTCTTTTTGGAATATACTTTTATCAGGTGGTTATAAGATCAGAGGAATATTGGCTTTGTGGACTGAGTGACTTAATATGAGTAAAGTGAGTCAGAGATCTACTCTAATGGCAAGATCAGGGCATCACCAGATTCCGTACTGGAAATATCCAGAACTGAAAGCAAGAAGCGCAAGCACACAACTACACTGTCTATTGTTGCATTTCAGAAGTAGCCCATTCTTGCAGGAAGCATTTCTAACAACTAAATCAATAATAAAAAAATAATCCCTCTTAAGTTTACTTCCTCTGCTCAAGAGTCCACTTCACTGTCATGTCCGATAGGCTTTGGAAGAGTCTTGCTGCAAATGCTGGTATTAAATGTTCTTTGTACTCAGTTGTCCTGCGGACTTTAGTTGCACTAACACTTACGAAGTAAGATGAGAAGGCACTGACAGGTAAATATGTAAGAGCGCATCTACAGTTTCACTAGAAATTGCATACAAAGCACTGGAAAGCAGCCAGGCAGATGTTTGGGAATAGCACATTCACAAATTAAAAATTTAACTATTTATAGTCAAGCAAGACTGAACAGCAGAATCTGTCAAGCCACAGCATAGACTGACAAACATATTTATGGCTTTCATCTCACAGTACTGACAGCTCAATGCCCACATACTTCCTTGCTCTCCAGTGACAGGCCTCTGTAAAGAACTGACAGACTAATAGAAACACAGTACTTTGGCAGATCAGACCCACAGGTTCAGATGAACACAAACATACTTTTTTGCACCATTTATCTTACCTAATGCCAACTGTCTCAAAGTACAGCTATCCTGAATACATGATCAAGCTTCTCTTACCCTGACACAACAGCAACATTTTGCTCCAATCAAGATTACTTCTACTGCTGCAGACAATGTCTGCTTTTCCAAGTTACTCTGACAGCAACTGGCATCTAAGAAATATGTGCTGTTATTTACTGAGAAAGATGTGATAAAGACCCTTCCACTAAGAGTCATTTTTCATATGCTAGTTAATGGAAACAGATAAAGGGAATTCCTACACTAGCACTTCAGCCTAGAGATAGGAAGGTACAGTACAAGTTTTTGTAGATGAAAGGGAACAAGTACAGAAGACACTGTTCAGCCTGGAATGTGACTGGAACAAAACTGATAGGAGGAAAATAAGACTGACATACAAGGATGGTTGCCCTTGACATAAATGTTATTAAATCCACTAAGATGCACATATGTGTATCAATCATTTGACAACTGATAATAGCTGCAAGGAAGATGTACAGCATTCACACTGTACATATCTTAGCATTCTATCCATATCAGATCAACAAAAGCTACTAAAATTAAGTTTAGACATGCCTATGTAGGGACTCCAAAACAGAGCTCAGTCAGTTCCCAAGAAATTAGCCTGCCTTATCTGGAAGCAGATTGTCCATAGACAAGTCTAGGAAGATATAAAATTGTTACTTATATTTCACATTTGTCAGTATTGTTATATATAGATGTATATACACACACACACACACACACACACACATATGTAATTGTTTGATGGTCAGTTCTTTCTTTATCTACATATCTATATTCCAATAGTCTCAAAAAACCCAAGCTGTGCCACTCAATTTTGACAGAGCAGAGAAATTGCACAGTATCCTCATCCAAACTTTCTCCCCCAGTTAACTCATCCTGGGCAGTGTAATACATTTAATTTATTAATATTTGGAAGGTTCTTCTGTTTCAGTCACTTTGATTGATGTTGTTAATGATAATGAACCACAGAACAGAGTAAATGGTGAGTGACAACATGCTGATGCAGCCTCCAATAACACATGCAGGATTAAACAAATGAACAACAACCAAAAAAAAAGCCTTAGAACTTACTGTCCAAAACTTTATGAAGTACTGCAAGACTGTAGCAGCAACAAACAGACAGTACAGTAAGGAATACATTAAAAACAGGAGGAAGAATTTGTAGTTAGAAAATCCCACACAATTATTCACCCTAGAAGGAGGGGAAAGAGAAAGAGGTTACTAGGATATACAAAAAATAAAACAAACAAAAACCCCACAATACATTCAGCTTTTGCAGAGCATAATGTGTATGATTTCAAGTGGTATGTCCGAAACATCCTGGCACTAGTGTTTCAGAAGCATTTTAAGCCACTATGTTGAAGGAAATCTCTTTCCTCCAGCAAAGTGATCTGGGCCCTTCAAATAGATTTTGCCCCCATGATTCTACAGGACAGGACACAAGCTGGCAAAGTGTTATGATACATACAGTCTGCATAGGAAGTATCTCACACTATGAACTAACTGCAGTCATCATGGAAGGCAAAATAAACCTCTCCATCAATTTCAGCGGATGTTGCTTTGGTTACAAACTCACCTCTAAGTCAACTACTGATAGCAGTATTTTTCATAGTGATAGCAGATAATATTTTTAGTGTCAACCAGTGAATACAAACTGCAGAAGAGTAACTATCCGAGTGGATCATTTGTATCATCTATAATCAAAAACTGATTTTCACACTGTAGAGAGTATCTCCTCTCCTGGTAAAAATACCAGAGCAAACAAAATAAATAAATGTCTTTTCTCATAGGTCTCATAAAGCCAAAGTTTCTCCTACATAAGAAGAAACTGCATGATTTGGACTAGTGGGCTTACAACTCTACACTGCAACACACATTAGGAACAAGATTTATTTTCACATATTAAAGAAATTCTGTAAAAATCAAATTTTACTTCACAGTTGCATTTTTGAAGCAGCATCTAATTCATTATTATTATACTGAGGTTTTTCTTTTTTTTTTAAATAAACTTACCATGGACAGTGGTGGTCCATTTTTAGTACACATCTGAAAGAGATAATTTCCAGCAAGTTAAAGCAAAAACCACATTTTGTTTCTAAGACACATAATTTTAGCTTCTACAGGCTTGGGGGTTGGTTTTTATTTATTTATTTTTTGAAGTATTTTGCCCCACTGTATCTTTTCTAAGTACTTCTCAGTAATGCCAATTCTCTATATTAGAGCAGCCAGTTTTTCACCCAAGAAGACCAACTGAGATTCAGAAAAATTATGAAGAGAGCTTCTTAAATTAGCACGGGGAGGATTACTGAGCAACACCACGTACCAGTTCATTAAGCCACACTAATTTTATGTGCACACTGAGAGGAAACAAATCCAAAGGACCTTTCAGTGCTGTGTGGATAAGTATGTTAGTCTGGCATTCACTTCAACTAAGTCTACCTTAGGGCTGTATCTGCTACTGTTTGGTTTGTTTTTTTTTTTTTTTTTTTTTGCTGCTTGCTAGGGTTTTTTTTTTAAGCTAATTGAGGAAAAGAGCAGCACAGTGGATAATTTGAACAGTCCACATGCCGTTTTAATCACGTTTTACTGTAAGGACAGATACTAGACATTTCAGACAGAGACATTCATTGTATTTGCTAATAAACTTGATTTTAGCCAAAAGATGTGTATTAAGTTCCTCAGTTAACTAGATTTCCTCAAGTTCAGCCTACTGAAGTCTCATGCATAGCCTCAGTTTTCAGTGCTTGTACAGATTTCTCTGATGATTCAGAATGAAAACAGGGAATAGATAGCAGTGATGTCTTTGGAATGGTTAAGGCATGTGATTCCACTGTCAATCTCTGAGATAAAGATTTTTAGTGTTATTAGTAGCACACATCTGTTTCAAGGCTGCAGAAGCAAGATAAAAGAGTTGGATAATATGCATTTGCTGGGGCTGGTATCTCAAGCCTTTAGTTTCAGTCTATGATTTTTTACTTTTTAGTTCCTTTATTTTTTAATATAAGCTCTGTTTCAAAAAGCTACAAGCAGGTTTCTTAAAAAGTTCTGCCATTTTAGACAATGATGCTGTACCATAATATTGCACCAACAGAAGGAACTTTGCTCTTTCATGAAATCCAAGTATTGAGGGTTTGAGAGAGAACAAATCGTAACTGCTATGCAAGGGTTGACACACTGAAGACATGAACACACTAAAGTGATGACTGCAGGAGAGAGAAACTCCATAATTTCAGATTCAGTAACTTACACGTCACATGCAGAACAGTGGTGGCAGCGGTCAGGTTTGATTAGCTGGCATCGATCGCAGTATCTGATTGCTGCATTCAAGTGCAAGGGTCAAGTCATTAGAACTGATTCAGTTTAATAAAAGTTTTCCCCCTTAACATGAACTGAATCTTCAAGAGCTTCCTGCCATTCCCTGCCACACCTGTTCTCAAAGACTGTCATGTGCCTACTCTCATATAATATGTAGTTTCGATTTTTTTTTAAAGAAATATAAGATATAAAAGCATTTAAAAAAAACTATGACTATACAGTACTGAGTCCATTTTCATTTACTCTTTGGCTCCCAAGTCTTCCCATCCTTCATCTTCTGGGACTGATCCCCTTTTACTTCTGCACAGGGTACTCAGGCATCCCATTGTGAAACAACATTCTTTCAGCAAGCCAACCTTCCAAATGGCTTTCTCTATCGTCTTTATTAAACAGCAATCTAGTAGACTGTTCAGTAAATCAGTTCTTCTTCATCTTTCCTGGATATTTTTAAACAAGCCTTCAGGCTTTTCTTAATGGAAATAAGACACCAGCAGAGGCAGTTTGAAAGGAGGAGGAAAGCCAACACCTCCAGCTGAACAGTACTGATAAGAGCTGGCAACAGCTTCCCAGACCATTCCAGGAACTTAAGACTGGGATTCCCTTAAAGGGAGGCTTGTATTCGAAAGAGCCAGGTGTCCTTAGATTTTGTTTGGAAAAGTCACAGTAAATTTTGGTAACAGTTATTCCAAATAGTCCATGCTTTTGAAAATTCTACAGGGTTGCTAGAAAAAGATATATATAGAGAGATACATATATATGAAAAAGCTATAGGTTTTCAAAGAATATACATATGCATAAGACAGCACTTTCACAGATATTCATATATAAGTTGAAATAAAAATGCCTATATGTATTAAAGGCAAATACAGAAATAGCCCATAACTAACTCTGTACTGAATTACAGATGGGAATGAAATAACATTTATTTGTTTGTACATTGTAAAAGTACAGTACATTTCTTCAGTACATTTCTCCTCCTGCTGAACCGAAACAACTCAGAAAGAGAAGTTTAAAGTGGGGACAAAAGTGATTATAAAATTGAGCAATAAGTTTAATTTTCCCTGGCTGTGTTAGCTATATTTCTTTGCTGTATTTATTTTTAATAGTGACAACTAGAGATAAATGTCCTCATCAGCTTGCTAGAAGGTGTTTTTTTTTTTTTAAATTCCAAATAGTGGTTTTATGTTGAGATCGCCAGAAAAAGGACTGCAGTTTCTCTTGGGGGAATTAAACATTGGCCCAAACAAATAACAAAACAAGGTCATGGTGTTTGCAATATGTACTTAACAGACTGATCATTCCGTGACATAAATGAATTTCACTGAATTAAAACTAGTAACTTCAGGAGCATAGAATGATCTTTATATCTCACCTCTCGATGCTGTTGTCGTATAGATAGGCAAGTCTTTGGCAGCTCTTCTCAAAATCTCCTGCTGGGATTCTGGTCTCTCTTCTTTTTCATATTGTTCTTTATCAGCTTTTGACAAGCAGAACTAGAAGGGATGGAGAAAATGGAATGGAGGGAAGAGATTAATTATTACCTTGTGTTCCAAGGAAAAGATCTTTCAGACGCCCTTACCCACTGACCAAAAAGTGCCACATAAAGAAAAAAAGACTCCTACAAGAATTACAGGAGATCCTTAAAAGTCCAAGATGTTCCTGGATGTATTTTAAAGAAAATAATCTTTATCTCTGTTCCATTATCTATAGCATTTTCTCTTCAACACAAGGGAAGGTAAAGACTCAGAGTGAGTTTTAAGGTGGGAACTTTAGTTCCTGATAAGCATGAACTAAGTGATCTGTGAACAAGAGGAAGGCACAACAGTCCCTTGCTGCTACAAGGCATTAAAGTTCCCTTATCCCACTTCCTCTCTAATGTAGAGAGGAGTACAAATCAGATGGGGGAAAAAAAGGCAGGTAGCGGGGTTGTGGTGGGCTTCATCACTTCAGCATAGAAGCTAAAAGAGTTTAACTGAAATTTTTACTTAGGAGTAGTCAAGACTAGTCTCAAAATTCATGAGTTGCATTGAATGCAACTTCAGCAAAGCCTGTACAGTTTGAGAGTGAGTTACAATTCTAAAGTAAAGCCTGACAAGCATTCTTGCTGAAACCTCACTGAAATGTAAGCCTTTACCAGAAGAACCTGGAGACTATTTACTCATTTGTGAAGCACTTAATTTGGTATCTGCTGAAATAATATTTACCAGTAAGCCCTACAAAACCCAGTGTGCTGACAAGGCCCCTTGTGGTGGGGGCTGAACTCACTATTTCTTTTGGTATTTTTCTGTTTCAAAGAACTTCTAAAGTCTGAGCTTCCTGCATGGACTACAAGAGCCCTTTTTATGAGCAAACACAGACAAAGTATTCATGGTAATGAGTGGAAAATGCTATGTGTGCAGCTGGAACAAAAACTGGCTCAGTGTGATTTAATATGACCGTATTGTCCTACCAAAAACATGTGCATGATTAGTTCACATGGATTTTTCCCTCATGTTGTAGTTTTTCCTCTTTTGGATTACAGTCAGTTGGCAAGCAACAATGAAGACTCCACTTACAGAAAAGAGGGAGCAGTAAGACAGTGTTGCAATTTCTCTGTGCTATTTCCCAACCCAGAATGCAAACAAGCTGCCTCATAGCTCACAGGATCTAGTTAAGCCTCCTGTCACATATAGCATCACCTCAGTTATTGAACCTACCCACCCTTCAAAGGTGAAACATGAAACATGTTTAAATAATGCCCTTTTTAATAACTGGACACTAGAATTAATCTATGCAAAGGGTGAAATGAAAGTTTAACATTTCAGTCATCACCAAGAGCTTCACCTCATTATTCAATCTTAATCACTCAGATATTTATTCAAGTATGAAAACTGGAGATGGTCACATCAAAAGTTTAAGACAGATGTAAAGCATCATTCCAGCAAACAGTGGTGTGATATGCCTTCATACCTACTACCCATTTTAGTCTGACAGCTGACTCAATGCCTGTCTCTATGCCCTGCAACCAAGCAGAGGTTGCAAGAAATATGAGTACTACTACTAGATGACATTTCCATGGCAAACCATTAATGCACAGAAAAGGAACCAAATCACAAGATTTAAAACTTTTTAAAATTTGTGCAAGTAACATTGCAATATTACTCTAAAAATCCTGGATAGGATTTCAGTTTTCAAAAAAGCTACATTTCTGTTTTAATTTCAGAAATTAATAGGGCCATGAGACCACAGTCTCTTTGGACAATGGCAGGACACCTTCAAAGACATCAAAAGTTGTCTGTTACCATACAGCAAACAGAATTTCCAATGAGGTTCCAGCAGTTCTTATTGAAAACAGAAAGAATCCCTTTGTTTCCTTCCTCTTTCTTTGTATAATGTTGATTGTTCTTTCTTATGACAAATGTACAGGGATTACACCAAGACAACAGCAGCTGCACAATCTTTTTTTAGTTCAATAGTAAGATCACAGGATGCTATTTGTTTTGCAAGAATGGCTAATTTGAATGACTAAAAATATATACGTTGACACACTCACACAATGGAGAGATTCTGAAGTCTGGCTTTGTTTTTAAGTATAACCAGCATAAATTACTCACTGGTATACGAACAGAAGGGATTTGCCCAGACACAGAAAAAGTGGTGCTAGGTTTTTAATTTGGTTGGGTTTTGTGCTTTTTAAAAAAAAATTTTGTGTGCTTTTTTTTTTTGTAGTTATGGTGGGGTTTTTTCCTCCTTTTTTCTGTTTAAAGCCAGCTGTAGAAGAAAATTGTATTAAACCTGATTTCCCCCCACAGCTGATATACAAAGAAGTCATCACACGCCATATGCCCAAACCATCCCTTTCACTTGCTGAATATGAAAAGCTTGCTACAACATTACTGTAAGTACAGGGTAAGTACTGTCAGAAAAAGTTTTCTATTAATGAAGAATCCAAGCAGACATTAAAAGTTGTTAAGCATTAGCTTTATGAGAAGCTCTAGTACATATATAGCTTTATAAAAAGTGGAATAACACACTTCCAACCACATTTTAATTAGCTGACATACTAATTACTTTGTAATTTTCTTGCAGAACCATTCCAGATAAAGCAAAAACAATCACCTTGAAGACAAGTCCCTTTGAATTTTTCGGTTTAGCAATTAATGGAATCATTTAGGTTGGAAAAGACCTCTAAGATCATCGAGTCCAGCCATTAACCCAGTACTGCCAAGTCCACCACTAAACCATGTCTCCAGGTGCCTCGTCTGCTCATCTTCTAAAGACCTCCAGAGATGGGGACTCAACCACTTCTCTGGGCAGCCTGTTCCAATACTTCACCACAAGCCTTTCAGTGAAGAAATTTTTCCTAATATCCAACCTAAGCCTCACCTGACACTACTTGAGGCCATTTCCTCTTGACTTGTCACTTGTTACCTGGGAGAAGAGACCCACCCCCATTGCACTACAACCTCATTTCAGGTAGTTGTAGAGAGTGATAAGGTCCTCCTTGTGCCTCCTTTTCTCCAGGCTAAACACCTCCAGATCCCTCAGATGCTCCCCATTGGACTGTGCTCCAGACCCTTCAACAGCTTTGTTTACTTTTAGTGCTTAGCTTAACAGCAGAATAGTGTTTAGCTTTTTTACACTTTATATTCTGTAGCTTTAGCACACAGAGGACCTTAAAGCCATAATTAAACACTGCAGAGCAGTGTTTGCTTTTCCTTAGAAGCATGGGTTTAACTCTTCTCAAAAATGTTTCAGGTTGACATTAGCACTAAACATCAGTCTTGCCAAAAACAGATTAAAAATTCAACACCCACAGAGCAACCAAAGCCTCAAACACTTTAGCCAGTTTAAAAAACTTCCTAAAAACAAGGAAGAGAAGGGAAATATTTTAAATTTGGTGCCAGTATTTAATCCTTACAAACACACACATTAAAGAGAACAGAAAACAAGGTAATCCATTTTAGGCTTACTGCAATTAATACAGTTCTTTTTCAAAACAAAACTTACAGTCATCATGCATTCTTCTGCTATTATATAAACCTTCTTTATGTAGTCACTTCTCAATTGTCCCTAAGTTTTAACCCTTGACTTACTAATATAAGGATTCAGTCCTCCAGGTCATGAGTATACACTGTATTACTACTCTTTCTTACCCAAACAATGGTCAAAACTGCCTATAGAGGAAATATAAAAACATTGTCGCTGGATTTATCAGTTTTAAAAATTCCAGGTTTTGAGCAAGCTATTTCATAGCAGATCACTGTACATGACTGCCAAACCTGTGATGATTTAAACCCACATTTCACATCAGGAAATGTCATGACACAAAGTACATGGTATTTTAAGAGTAACTTCATCATTTTCATTCATGATGCACTGTCATGCTGTTCTATTTTAGATAATGAGAAGGGAAAGGTGAATCATGCGGTACTGCCAACGAGTTTCATCACTGAATACAGTTCAGCTATTTATAAAAAAGGCATTGACATTTTTCTAACATATTTACCTCGTTAGAGGGGGTTGCAGGAGATGTGAAAATTGTCTTCCCATAGGACCATATAAACATGACAAATGACAGATGAAAAACCACAAGGTAGACAACTGCAATAAAATACAAGTAAGAATTTGGTGAATATAGCTGAAAGGAACAAGCAATTAACCCCTGATCTTTGAGGAGGGCTAAACTACTACACTACAAATTACCTGATACAATTAGGTTAATCACTTTTCCCTGGGTAGACTTAGCAATCTAGGACTGCTCACTTAAAAAAAAAAACAACACAAAAAACCCCACAACAAAACCCCCCATCAAATGTGATGGTTGCTATTTCTCAAGAAAATAATATGTTTTTATCACAGAATCACAGAATGACCTTTAACAGTTCCAGGGATGGGGCACCCACAACTTCTACAGACAACCTGTGTCAGTGCCTCACCACCCTCACAATGGAGAATTTCTCCCTAGCATCTAATCTAAACCTGCCCTATTTCAGTTTGAAGCCATTTCTCCTTGCCCTGTCACTACCTGCCCTTGCCAATAGTCCCTCCCCAAGTCTCCTGTAGACGCCCTTTAGGTACTGGAAGGTGCTATAAGGTCTCCCCAGAGCCTTCTGTTTTCCAGGCTGAACAACCCCAGCTTTCTCAGCCTGTCTTCATAGGAGAGAGGCTCCAGATCTCTGATCATCTTCAAGGCCTTCTCTGGACTTGCTCCAACAGGCCGATGTCCTTCTGGATCCCAGAGCTGGATGCAGCACTCCACATGGGGTCTCACCAGAGTGGAGTAGAGGGGCAGAATCACCTCCCTCAGCCTGCTGGCCATGCTGGTTTTGATGCAGCCCAGGATACAGCTGGACTTCTGAGCTGCAAGTGCACGTTGCTGAGCCACGCTGGGCTTCTCATCAACCAACACCCCCATGTCTTTCCCCTCAGGGCTGCTCTCAATCCATTCTCTGCCCAGCCTGTACCTTTGCATGGGATTATCATCTTGATTCCTGTGCAGGCCTTTGTACCTGGCCTTGCTGAACTTTCCAAAACAGATTTTGAAGGGAAAAAACAAATCAACAACAACAAAAAAAATCCCCCAAAACTCCCCCCAGAACTGAACATAGCTTTACCTGTGGCATATAAGTGACTAACCTTTTTGGATAAAGATGATGATGCTGTAATTCTGTTCTAGATTATAAATTTGATTACTGGCCTACATAATTCAATTTAATTTCTACTTCTAATAAAAACAGCACAATATTGTGCCATTATAGAAGGCACTGGTCATCAATGACAGTCAAAATTCCCAAACAAGGGTTTGGAGAGGACTGCACTCTAGTCATGCTAGCTGGGAGTTAAAAATTGTGTTATTACATTCCTTCAAATCACCTGAGGAATACAATACAACCTGGAAAAGTCCTGTTATAGTCACAGTGGCAACAAAACGTAGGTGGCTTTAATAGGGAACTTAACCAATTTACTAATGGATGTGTGTGATATGGTTGCCTTAAAGACCAGACTTTATGACCCAGGAAGCCTCTTCTAATCTTGTTTCCTCCAGCAGTTTCTTTTACCACTTGTCAAGAGAAAACAGATCAATTGTGCCAGAAGAGCAACTCTTAGAAAAAAGTCATATTAAATATTTACATTATTTTCACTTATCTTCTGTTGCAAGAAGAAGGAAAATTGGCCTACTTTTCTGGACAGATGAAGAGAGTCCTTTAAGAAGGTGTATGATGTACTTTATGGATGGCAGAATTTGGCTCTGCCAAACTTTATTCCAAACTTTGGGAACCTCCTTGTACACAGCTCAGAAAATCCTTGTACACAGCCACAGATGATGTGGTCTTAATTTATTACCTTTCAGGATTTTCATGGGGCTTATTACAATGAAAACAAACTGCATTTGAGCTTTCTTCAGAGAATTATGCTTTTTACCTTTGCCTACGACTCCTCCAACCTTACAGACAGATTTGGCAAATTTTCAGCTGTGGAGCTGATTGAAAATTCAAGAAGCAAAACCTTTTTCGAAAGCCATCCTAAAACTGTCATCCTGATAGGAAAGAACTTGTGTATTACTGTACTAGGCACTGCAAAACTAGAAATTGTCTTTTATTAAAAACATAATCTACATTCAAACACAATGTGGTTAAGCAATTAAAGCATGAGAAAATGGTTTGGAAGAGAGGAGAAAAGGACCATAAAACTGGAGTGGAATCAGTAGCACAGATCAGGACTTTGGTGTAGAAAAGGGAGGGAGGAATTGAATAGAAGGAAAGAGGAAATGAGATACAGGGCAGAGCAGGGCACAGCAACACTAACTTCCACAGTTCTATTCTGTCCATAAAAATCACCCCCAGAATTCAGATTCTTTTGAGGGATTATTTTTAGTGCACACACAATACCTCCAACAACAGAACCTCAGTCTTGTCACAGACTATAAATGCCCCAACACAAAAAACAACAGGTACCATGTCTGGTTGCAGCAAGGGTACAGATCTGTGCCAGTGATACCAGTATTTACTAGAAAGAGGCAGCTGTTGAAGTGCCCTTGCACTCTTCATGTAACTGAGATCTTGCAATCTGTCATCATCATCAAAAGCCAAGGGCCTGACTTCAGTAGCCAGTGACAGGCACCACCCAGGGAAAGACCCTGCCATTGGTAGACCATACTGTCCCCACTCTGAATAAATTCTTGCTTCTTTTCCCACTCCCATGCTGCCATTCCTACTGTGATTACAGGTCACAGTCAGTGCTCCCCAAGAAATGAGAGGGAGGGAAGAGACCATTTTTGACAGCTTTACTTTAGCAGTCCATCTAACCTCCACCTTGGGTAGCAGTATCTCCTCTGCAGACTGCTCCCCGAAGCATCTTGTTTCCAGTACAAATAAAAACCAGGCTCATTCCTAGTGAGCTCATTTTCTTGTATTTACAAGCTAGATGGAAAATACAACAAAAACCTCAAACCCCAATATCTGACAGTTTAGCCAGACTCAGAGTCATGAGGAAGTCCTGGCTAAGCTAAGGCAAACCAGGATTCTTGGCGCCGTGCTGTGACCGAGTGAAGTCAATTCTCTTTAAAGGCACTGATGCATACTAGACTGTAATTTATGGCCTCAGGAAGACAATGTCTTAAGACATGTTCACAGAATCCTCCTAAAATATGCTAAGCCCCTCCTAAGATTTGCCCTTAACATCCTTTTCTGAATCATTCTTAACATTACTTCCAAGACAAAGTCAGATTACAGAGAAGTAATAATATAACAGCAGTATATTATATTGTTAAGAGAGATTCAGAGTTGCCTTTATTCCCCTATCCTAATGGATATAAATCCAGACAAGAATATAAAATTATGAAGAAAAAATTAGCCTTAACGGGGTGAAGAAATCACCGCTAATTTAATCAAAGGTTGCAATTACACACCGGGGTAAAAGGATCTGAACATAGTACGCTGAAATATGGAGCAAAATACACTTGCTAAGATTGCACATTATTGATTTACACAGCAATGTTGCTGGAACTTTGGCCTTTTGACTCTTCTGATGTTGACTCCTGGCTGTTGGGAGTTAGCTTATAAGAACATTATAAAACTTATGCCAGCTTTCTTTTCAAATGAAGAGACTTCATATCTCATTTTAAAATCAACCTTCACAGTTGAGAAATCCAAGCATACAGGATGCCTATGATATGATGCAGAATTGAAGGTGCAAGAAGCGTGCAGGTGACAGCTATTAAAAGCCTAACAGTCAGGTTCCAATGACACTGTTGGTCTCACTAATTAATGTAGCATTTTTCTTCTGTGGTAGATTTAGAAGCACCTGGTTCAGTGAGACAGGTGCTGCATTTGTAATAAAGCCAGAGATCTGACTATGTAACACCAACATCATTGCTCTGCCAGGCTTCCTCAGCTGAGACATGGATCTTGCTTTTCCAGAAGAAATGAGCACGTAAAACTTATTCATATACAGGTCAAGTAAGCATATACAGTAAGCACAGCAGCAACTTGCTGAATTTTGTGAGCAACCTGCTGAATTTTGTGAAGTCTAGGTAAAGCCCAGAAGTGAAATGGGATGTAAAAATCCAGGGTAAGACAAGCTCACATCTTGAATGGCTTACAGTTCATACTTTGAAGGTTTTCCCACTCTTTGAGCTCTTCATTAGAAGATGAAAGAGGACAAATCCTGCCAAGGTTCCCTCATTTTACAGTGGTCTTGTACATGTTCCCCACCAGGAAGAAAACTGCTAGATTAGCTTCAAATTCTGTGCTGTTTTGCAAAATATCTAAGAGGTGAGAACCTCTTACCAGTCTGAAACAGCCCTCTGTGGATAGTCAAATCTATGCTTAATCTACTGCTCATGTTCCCCTATAAGCTGAAATGAACTCCCAAACAAATACCCCATCAATAATATGCTAGAATTTTTTTTAGTCAGTTTATATCTCTATAAGTACGACCCACCGTGACACATATTTGCCAAAGCCAATATGAAGATTAAAGTAACATTTGTCAAAACAAGGTCTTAACCATTTGACTTGGAAATTTAAAATTATAATGTGTAGCCACTTTTGAAATGGTTATGTTTTGCACATTTCTAACTAGTCCTAAAGAATGGGGTTCCGAGGAATTTGGTAAGCTGTTTGGAAAATAGCAAGCAGTTCAACAACAATTCATCTTCCAGAAGTCTTTCAGGTCACTCAACTAAACAGAAAATGGACTTGTGGATCTGCTGCAGTTCCTTCTCTCCTCTCCTTTTTCTGTTCTTACAAGGTACCCATTTAAAAATATTTGCAAACCTAAATCATAGCTGCCTTACTTGCATTAGTCACAGGTCTTGTCATCATCCCAAGTTTGTGATATTAGAAGCTAAACAGACTCAACTGTACAATATTTGCCTTGTTTCTTAGCACTAATCTACTCACTATACAGAGCTTACACATCAAGGAGCACATTTATATTCTATGTCCCTTAGGACTTGTGTGCAAAGCAGCTTTCACATCTTCAAAAAAAATTAAAAAAAAATTACCTTTTTCTGCAGTTGAAGAAATAGTAACTGGAAGAGAGAGAAAAAAAAAGTGTTAAGTAAATCTGTATTGAATCAAGTGTTTGGCTAAAAGCAAGATATATGAGGTAGTTGATTGTTCCAGAGCATACTTTGGGTGTTAATAGAGCCTCCCTACCAAACACTGGGGTAAAACGGGAGCTAGTATTCCTCCTGCCAGCCCTTGATGCTTGGTGAGTTACTGGAAGAGCTGAAGGGATGCAGTTCCCTGCACTAACGAAGCAAGCACATTCCACAGACAATCATTAGACTAACTTTATGCATACCCCCTTCAGATATGTATCTAGCTCATTTTTCTGAGTCAACAGCTAGGCCAACAGGTGTACCACTGGAAAAGAGAAAATTAAAAAGTTCTTACAGAAGTCCTTCTGAAACTGTTACGTTACCTACTTCCTTCTCTTAGTTTTTCCCATCACTTCTCTCTTGCTGTCACATACTATTTTTGACCTTTTTTTCCCTGACCTGAATTCTCCAGGCATAGTTAAAACCTCTCCACTTCCCTATCTCCTACAGCCTCATCTCCTTTCATGCCAACAGCAAATTCTACTGTTCAAATCTACCTTGTATACTGCCTGACTACTACATCCTCCTGCCCGCAGGCTTCTCCAAAACCTTCACACTTAGTTCATCAGTTCATGTACAACACTGAACAGAGAGCTGCTGTACTTACTGGTTTACTTTGCTCATATCACTTCTCTTGCTGGATCTCTTCTTTGCACACTGAATTACTGAAATTTTAGGAGGAAAGGATCTTTTCCTGACTCTTCATCTTACACAGCAAATATAAGCTTCTGGTCAACAGCATGACTAAAAGGTTAACAGAGCACACCCTGGCTAGTGCAGTGTACCTCACTACACACTGTCTCCCCTCTCTTGGCTCTGACATTTTGACTGTCATTAGCCTGAGTGCCCCAGTTCAAAAGAGCTTTTACCTGATGCACACTAGAGTCTTAAATCTGCAGGGCTTCAGTACGTATTGCAGACTTCCTTCTGTAGGGTTACTCTGGTTACAGAGGTGGCATGTGTCTCACCTGTTGATATCTACAGTTAAATGGTCTGCAACTATATTATGCAACTGCGCCTCTTTTTATAGCAAGAGACATAATGAAGTGATATCTCAATTTACAGATGACCTCTTTTTGTTCAGATATGTTTTGGGGTTTTTTTCTTCTTCCCCCTCCCCCCCCCCTCCCCTGCCTCCCTTTTCTCCCCCTTTTATTTAATATCCATGCTCTCTCTGTCTATAGAAGTCTCTATGAAGTTAATGGAAAAGGTTCTGGTTCCTTCCACCTAAGGAAGGAAGAAATTATCATTTAGAATAGAACACGGTTGGCTTCAAACTCAAGGAAGTCAACCCTAAAGAATAGCTTAATTTCACATTAGTTATGGACACTTGCACAGCCTCCTCCAATGTTTCAGTCAAACTCCACCGCATGCTACAGAAGTCTAATTATTTTTAAAGCAAATCCTGTGAGTGTTTTCGCTTGAAATTTTACCGATGCATTATTTCTCCAGTTAACACTTTTTCAACAATGCAAGGAGAAGATAAAAATCATTAAAAAGGTGAAAATTAAAATAAACTCACCAAGTATGGTTGTTTGCTCAACTTAAGAAAAATACTAAAAGTACTTTAGATTAAACGTTGTCTTTGACTCCTCATATCTAAAGTAAACACCTTTGCACACAGCTGGATAAACATGCATTTCCTTAGACAAGAAATATAAAAAAGTTCTTTATTATCCTCTAATGGGATGGAAGAACATCAATATATTTTTTTAAAGTAATTCTGATTAAAGCACTTCTTAGTCTGTAGCCTCACTTCTGCTCTCAGCGCAAAACAAAACTGCAAACCAAATTTGATGTTTAAAGACTCAAAATAATGAACAGGCTTTACAAGTAAAACCAAAACAAAATGAAAGCTTAATATTGTATCACCTGTGAGACTTAATCAAAATAGTCCCTAAAAAATCTTCATAAAAATTAATTAAAGCTTCACAGCACCAGGAAGATAATTTCTCTTTCATACTTAGGTCCCTTAGGTCAGAACGCAGTTACTCGACTCTGTAGAACAACTTTTGTTCAACAAACTCCTGGAGTTTGAGGTAAAAGCCAACACTGAAACACTTGTGATTTTCATCCTGCCTTATCATCTTCAAATGAAATAAAAGATGTCCAGTTCCCTTCTGTCTCAGAAGAAGTTGTCTTTCTGTTTCTATTCTTTTCACTGTTGTTATGCCCATTGTCAGGTAGATTAAACGAACAGCAACCCTACTATACTTGTCCAAATGCACTCAGCAAATGGCACACGAACAGTTTCACAAGATCTTTATACTGCAATGCAAAGCCTTCCTTCACATAAGTTAATATCCAATCTTTATGCAAAAAGCCCCCCTTTAAATATTAGCTAGGCTGGCCATCTAATAAGCAGCTTTACACCACCAAGAAATCAATTCTAGCTTTTGAACTCTGGTTCAGGGGAAACAAAACCACATAAGACATTGCCGTTGTGGTTCCCCATCCCTGGCCTGTAGCTTAGCTCTCTATCACTTTTCTCCCTTATAGTTTTCTTCTAACCATTAAGATACTGCTGCCAGCTTCCACTAATTTAGTATCATCTTCAAGCATTTCTAAAACATGGTTTCTTGTCTGGGGCATGGGATGGGGGAAAAATCAGCACTGCCTTTTTGCTTATTGATATTTTTTTGAACAAAATAAACACTGCATATGATTTAGATGTTAACCTCAGGATGCAACAGCACTTTGCACGATATATCTGCACCAGCACAAGTTACTGCCTTCAGTACTGCAGTCAACACAAACCTGTTCGTATTTCAGAAATGTAAGTATTGCAAAACAGCTGATCTTTGATGATTTTAAAATATATTGCCATATCAGTCTACTGCTCAGCTAGAAAAGGAAAAATATTCTTTGGGTTGGTTTCTTAATATTAAGTTGCTGGTTTTTTTGCAAGAAGACTTATGAAGTTCTAGAAAAGTATGCAAGGGAAGGATAAAACACGACTAGACAGTGAAAGCTGCAGTTTACTTCAATGCAAAGAGCTCAGAAGCATGCCCTCGGGGGCTAAGGCACACAAAGTTTTCACTATGGCCTCATATTTCAAAGGGTTTAACATCTCAGAGTTACAGCAAGTCAAGCAAGCCAAAGTCAAACAAAGTGAACAAGCCCTGTCGGTCTGACTGCAGTGAGAGCTTTACCTTGGCTACCTCAGGGTTTCCAAAATCAGCCTAAGGAAGGAGCTCAGCAAAGCCTGTCTCTCTTTCCCCAGGGTAACAGGCCTACATTGAATGAACTTCATGCTGCTGCAGCTTGTCTAGGGATGTACAACACACTGTCAGTTGGTCCTGTACCACTAAGCAGCTCACACACTGGGGACTCCCACTGCTTTGGGGTCACTGAAACATGAAGCACACAATACAAAGTACGTGAATTCACATCCTACAGCACACTACCTCCAGAATACAACATTACAGCCTTTTATCAGGCTAGATTTGAATGTACTTTATAACTCAGTTTGCTTAAGAGGATAAGCAGAAACTGCAGTTCTGTCTTTAGCAGACGAAACGGTTGCCTTAGTTTTGATTTAGAGACCTAGCATCACCCCTCACAGCAAAACCACTTTTTCCTTCACGACCCCAGTCGTTGGTTACACCTTTCTAGATACTCTTCCTTACACTGTTGCCCGTTATCTCTCATCTCACCTATGTCACAAGAATGAAAGAGGTGGAAGCCTACAGATTATCAGAGGAAACAATCCTGCAGACATAGGGCCATCGTTAGATGAATAACAAATTAAAGTAGAGGAAAATGTCATTTGCTGGAAGCATTCTTCTTGGAGTACAAACCAACAAACGTGTCAACTTCAGAAAACTTTGGAGAATTTTTTAAGCTGCTTCAAGGAAACCTTGCACAACATCTTGAAGAAACAAGCATCTTTACGGAGCTGGTTTGCTTTCAGTTTCAGGCTTATTTTCAGAATTGCTAGGAAGTGTTCAAGCACCTTCCAAATCACTGCATAATAGGAGAAAGCCAAACCTCTCTATTCTGAGGCAAAAAGGTGCAATGATCTGCCAAGACCTTTCAAGAGGCATGCTAAAAGATGAGACATTTCACTTCAACCTTGAAGGAAAAAAACCCCACATTACATCTTCCTACTCCCCTAAAAGCCCTGCTCCAACCAAAGCCAGATATTCTTTCTGCAGAGCAAAAAATTCAACTGCAACTAACATAGAAGTATAGAAAAGGACAAGAACTGATCTTGTTACTGAAGAGCTATGCTTAGTTCCCCATCCCCTCCCACGATGGCTCCCAGCAGGAGTCACACTTTGGTTATTATAGCCTTTCCACAAATTTCAAGAGTAACATTCACATTCTGGCTGACATTCCTCATGGGTGGGAAGAAGGAGTGATAAATGCGCAATTGCATCCCTTCACCAGATGTACAGCCTTAACTTTTCTCAGCTTTTAAGGAAAAGGGTTAAAAATATTAACAAAAATAATATATATCCATCTGTGTATATATATATATATATACACACACACGACATATATTTCCAGAAGTTACCAGTACTGAAGTCAACGGCAACTCCCCACAGGCACTGTCCTGTCTGCAAAGGCAAGCCCCACTGACATCATCTCAAGTTTTTCATTTGTTCAGAAAAACAGAAAATGGCACTTTACTGGAAATATAACTTAGGTTTATGGATACATAATTCTCATTTGCAAATGCAGACCTTAATCACCCACAAGAAGATGGTAGAAACAGTACTTACTGACGCAAGTGGGACAGACAATGAGTGAATTTCCCTGAGAAAATACTCATTTGGCTTCTGTTACAGGGCAGCGTCAGAGCATGAAGACCTTACCACTTCTCCACTGTTCTCTAAAAGCCTTAATTCCGTGACCTTTCCACACGGAGTTATTTCTTATTTCCCAACTGGCAGGCACCCACAAGGTGCTTTCCTCCCTAAGCA